CGTTGTGCAGGTGTTGAGAGTCAGAATACTTATAAAATGGAGAGAGAATGAGCACCTTGAGAGCATGAGCACCTTGGTGGCACTCACGTGTCTTCCCGGTCACTCAAGGTCCTCATTCTGCTATGTCTCCTTTTCCTACTCTCTCTGGCGGCCTGAAACGCTCCGAAGCGCCCCGGTGTGTCTGGTCTCTTAGTGACCAACAATTCCTCGCCGCTTTTGACTAGTGCAGGTAAGAGTTTTCGGCCTCGAGATTGGCGAGGTCAACTCCCAATCCGGATAGCAGGGTACTCACACAGTTGACGCTACAGATTTCGATTCGCACTGCTTACCCACCATGAGGCACCTTGCGCACGTATCACAATTCAGCTGGACGCCAACTTCGCAGGCATCAGAATAGAGGCCAGGCATCCGTGGTGCACTTGCCCCCACCGACATAATGAGGTCTATTGCAGCTTACGAGGACGGAGAGGACGGTGCGCTCTCGTTTCTTTTTCTTCTCAAGTCACGAAGGAGAAGTCCACTTGCGAATGCTTCCGGTCCTCTCCTATCCACCAATCGGTGGCACCGAAAATCCTGGATATAAGGAGGAATGCGTTCACTGTAGTAAAGAAATCGAGTCATACGGTTCGCGACACTCCACACACCTTCCGCGGTGTGTCATTAATATTGCCAACGGCATCGTTTGCACCTGATGTCTGTCTCAGATGCTGAGCCCAAGTTACGCCAATCAAAAGAGTATGCACTACTTTCAGACCAGTATGAGGCCAGTTTCCCATACCTTACTTTGAGGACTTATTGGCAAGGGACTCGTCTGGATGCAATGTACCCACTGTGGCTTCGTCTTGCATCCTGCTTGAGTGGCCGAAATCAACAAGGCAAATGGGTTGCATCCTTTTCGCATTAGTCGAGTCCTTGGAACGTGCATTCCGCGCCACTCAGGTTAGCGTGTATGGACTCGCATCCTGTGCAACGCGTGAACTATTCATACACGGCTCGAGGGAAGTTTCTGTCCAGAGAAACAGCGTGATGCAAGCTCTTGATCTCTTTCACATCACTTGCCAAAGGAAATGGGGGCTGCTTCCATGCTAGACACGGGACAGGTGCGCTGATGATCCTTGTCTCTCAGATCTGACTAGTCCTCCTGGGAGCAGAAAGTCACAATAAGTGACTATGAGTCCGGCTAGAGCGCTTCCCTGAAAAATATCCCTCTGCACTGCCTCTACTGACATCCCGGCTCCTACCACGACTCAGAAGCATCCAGTTATGCTATCGATTCCAGTCGCTCAGACAGTATACTTCCCGGATTTGGGCCTCCTGTTGGTGCCAGGCTATAGACTAAGAAAGTAGAGACTTCTGATGTGCTCCAAATTTGGAGAATTTGGAATAAATCCTGTTTATAGACTAGCACAAACCTGTGATTTGTCCCGGAAGCCACGGAGAGGAGGCGCGTAATCATATGTGCCTGAGGCAGTTTTTTGTACCACCCAATAATCTGCTGGACTGTCCTCTGAGTACCATCTTCTGTGGCTTCCGCTTCACGGCGCTCTGTAGATTCTAGTGATAATTGATGAATGATGATGCTACAACTGGGAATATCGGGACCCTTATCAGCAGCCGCTAGACAATCTATCCAAGAAAGCGAGGCGGCGCGAGGGGCTTTCCTAAGCTCTGCCAGCCTCTGTGTTCTCCACCTACAAACACTCAGTCGGCAAATTCTGCAACATTGAATTCTTCCTGCTAGCATGTTGATATATTATATTGTTGCCTTTCTAGATTTGACCTCAGTTATATACGTCTAAAACTTGGTTCTCAGCCTCCAACCACCAGCAACGCCCCGCGCAACCACGAATGCAGCACACGCCGCAAGATACAAGATCCCACCGAAAAGTATCAGTCCCCAGAAAGCACCCCCATCCCTTTCTTGTATCGCTCCCGCAATAGGAATTGCAGTCAGGGTCCCAAAGCTCACCAGAGTGAACGTCGTTCCGTTACGCTTGCCTATATCCTCAGTCCGACATACCTGTGCGATACAAACGGGTGTCAAGCTGATAGCCGCGCCACTCCAGAAACCGAACATAACCGAGTACGCGATGATGGCAGCATCGTTCGTGCCAGCATTATACCACAATGCAAGTGTCATAATAGCACAAACTAATGCAGTGAACGCCATCACATTGAACCGTCCGAGTCTATCGGCGAGAAGTCCCGGGAATGCGCGTCCCGGGATGGCTCCGACATTAAGGAAGATGCACAATTTGTACGAGAGAGACTCTCCAATATTGGCATATAAACCGTAAGAGCAGAGATAGGTATAAGGTACGAATACAGCAAATTCGACCATCCATACTGCAAGCGTGGTGAGGGCATAGTTGGGTTCCCGCAGGGCGCGAATGTCGATCGCCACGCCACGCTTTGCGTCGGGCTTGAGCCGTGTCTTCAGAAGAAGGCATGCAAAGCCGCATAGCACAAAGCAGATTATTCCGATGATGCGCATGGCCCACGCGAACCCTAGCTTCGGGGCGACGTACAATATGATGAGGGGAAAGAAGACGCCCCCTAGTCCGCCAGCTGTACAGGCAATTCCGGTGGCAATGCCACGGCGGACATTGAACCAGTGCCCGATGGCGGAGATAGCAGGAGTGAAGAGACAGCAAGATGAAAGACCGCCTAGAACACTGAAAGAGAGCATGATTTGGTAGTATTCTGTTTTGCGTTAGTAGTCCCCTCGAACAATCAAGAATGAATGCTAACCTGTGCTCGCACTGAAGCAGAATACCGCGACCACCAGTCCAATTGACCCCGGAATTACAACCGGCAGCGGTCCGTGGCTGTCAAATATCGGACCTGTCGGCATCGTCAGATCAGCAGCTGTGCTTAACGTGTGCATAGTGGGACGAGAAACATACCGACCTGGGCGCCTGCAAAATATAGGAAGAAGCTGAAGACGCCAAAAATCCATCCAACACTAGATTCAGAATATTCTGAGAGCTGGTGGGTAGATGTCCACGCATGTAGGACTGATATGGTGTTCAGCAATCCCATTGATGGAACCATTGCACACCATGATCCCAGGACCACAAGCCAGGCTTGAAGGCCTCCCTCTGGATATTTTTCGTCGAAAGTGTCATCTTGTTCCTCCCTTGCTATTACCTGTGAGGCCGACTTCTCTATAGTTGCGTGGGCCCCCTGGTCCAGGCTATGGCGGGCATGGGTCTCAATGTCAGCCATTCCCAGATTGGTAACTATCGGATTACCCTCGGAGAATGGAAATGTTCGCACAAGCGCCCAATGCACTCTTAAGACGATTGAGAACTGACAAGGATACAGTACGGGTTACAGGAAGCCGATTTAAATAGCCAGAAAGGGTCTATACAAAGGGTCTTCAGCCACTCAGCCTATTGAGCCCTGCATATTGGGCATCTGCTTTTGCGGGCCTGGACGCTGCAGAAAAAAAAATTGAGACAGCCCTTATCTCCGGAAGTGGGTATTCTGATAATAATCCCTAGTTTCTGGTTGGCCCGTTCCGGGAACTTCCCCTTTTTCGGTAGCCGGCAGTCATCGCGGGAGGGCGCTCCCGAACTCCCCAGGAATTACTGTCATACCACATCGGGCCCCGCGACTCCGCGGTGGCTCCTGGCTGCTCTTAATTCTACCTTGTTGCAACTACATGGCTCTTGTCTATCGGATGCCTTGAACTATGGAGTGGCTCGTTTGGAGCCGCCCTATAAGGCTCGAGGTCAACCTTTCATCGAATTACGTAATTGCCGGCTCTTCTACCAGACGATTCATCCAAGATGTGTGCCATCGCATACTTGAGCTGCAGTGACCGCTAGAGCACATACTTTGTTGATGACACACAATCTGCCATCGATTCATGGACTGCACGTTGTGATCAGTCAACTTCCTGGCTCGCAGACGGCGAAAGTTGGCTAGGAACCAGTCATACTTCCAACCGCTGCCAATGGTCGTGGAAGAATTAGTCATGGTAACCACAGCACGTAAAAGCAAAATCTTTCGACTTTGCTATTGTTCATATGAGATGAATTCGCCAAGAGGAACATCCCAGTGTTGCATGCTGAGCTGGCTCTGGCCCCCAAACTGACTGCTCAAATAGCACTTAGCATTAGCTGCAGGGCTTGCACTGGATATCCCATTTCCACCCCGGGTGATCCATACAAAAGGCATGGCTCATCTTTCAGACAGCTACTGGGTCCTAGCTTCCGGACACGAGCTGCATGTATGTAGCGACGGACAGTTCCCACAAAACCCCGACTCTGTCTTCCGATCCGATCCCCCCACTCGCTTTCTCGGGTACCAGCGCAGTGAACAAGCGGTCAACGGCTTCCTAAAATAGGCCTTACAGGGAAGTATTTGATCAGTCCTCCGAGGGTTCGCTGAAACTCCCTCTTCTCGCTATCAAGCCATGATATCATCTACGAATAGCGTACAAGTACATGCGAAGTCTTCAGAATAGCAGTGCCAATCTGCCTATCCCTGTAGTAGGTCTCGTAGGCAACTATTCTACTCGCATTGGCCCGGCAATCTCGGTACGCACTTTTCAGGCTGCTGTTCATACCATACATTGCTATCGCATGCAGTCAAACAGAGGTCGAGTGTTTCAAGGTCCTTGCACCACGTCATTGTCCCGTGAAGCAAAGCGGATGTCTAGACTATCTTGATAGCTGGCCATCGGGCGTGACTATCCCAGAGAATTCTCTCATGGACAAGGCTTAGCAAACTAGCCAAGGAATCGCGAAACTGAATGGCCTTGATCGCGATCACAGCTCCTATGTGAAATGAGAGAAGGCGCTGCTATGAGATACTGTTGAGCGCATTCCTATTCCATCACCGTAAGTCTTTCAAAAGTCAATAGCTAGGTATACCCAAGTAACCCTGCTGTATTGGGAATTTGTACATAGTTCGGTGGATTGAATCACAGTCTGCCTTGTCGAATTCGAATGTGGCCACTTCTCTCTACTACCTTGGCAGTGAAGCCTGACATGGCCCCTCCATTCGTTGTGCTTGCAGTGTGCATACAATTCTGGCTACTATTCGAAGCAGTGCGAGGTCCTATGACTTTCAACTCCCAGTTCCCTGTCAAGCTCTGGGTGATGTAAGCAGAATCACCTGAGGTCTCCTCGACCCACCGGCGGACTCTTTCCTCTTCGCTCCCCACATTGGCGGGTGTCAGGTTTCTAGAAAGTATATCCTTCTGAGGGGTTTCCACTTCCTGGAATCCATCCAGGCCATCAGGAGGCCTTTGGGTCTTACGGCTGGATGATACCGATGTCTGTGTGCAGGCTTTACGTCCCTCATGGATTTCATATATACATGCCCAAGATCGAGAGTGGCGGATGGCGAAATCGCTAGCAGAACAGGTTTATGGATCGAATCGGCTAGTTTACAGTTTTATACTTTGCGACAGGTCGTCATCCTTCTTCGCAGTAGCGCTTGTTGCTGCTTCTACTCTTCCTAATACTTTACAGCTTAAGTGAACGTCGAAACAACAATGGCCTCAGTCCAGACAATATCAATGCCACACCCTCAGCTGTTCGAGCGGCCGCGCATTACTACTAGTGAGGGCCCTTTGTTTTTCTTAGGCTACTTGTCGCTTACGTGCGCCTGCTGATGTAGCAGATCGAGAGCACAGAAGCAAGCCCCTTCTGTCCCCAGGTCCGGACGAGGTGCTGGTCAACCTAAAATTCTCCGGACTCTGTCACTCCACCCTTCATCAGTGGAGAGGTTAGCCTTATCCGGTCGAGGATTTGATGTCAAGTGCTGACTAGTCCAGGAAATTCTGTCACTAGGAAAAGGCATTGCGTCGGTGTGCAGGCCCACGGCTGTTGAAGCTTTCCCACATTATACTGACCTTGGGTATAAGATGGTCACGAGGGTACAGGTGTTGTGATAGCCGCCGGTAACGAGGTGGAGGACATTAAGATTGGTGATCATGTCGGTATACAGGTGATAACTAACATTGCTGCTTCAAGTGTATCCTTCTAATGTTGAATAGTGGATCAATAGGACCTGTGGTGTCTGCGATGCAGATAAACAATCAGATTTCGTCTCGTGCCCACACGCTCGAATGACAGGATATTCGGTTGATGATACCTTTGGGGAATATTGTATTAGCCAAGCATGCCATGTCGTGCGACTCCCTAAACAGTTCCCTCTTGATATTGTTGCTCCAGTAAGCTCAAGACTTGTCGTCAGTTACCCTTGATTCGCTAATATTCTAATCAGATTATCTGTGTCGGAACTACGTGCTTCAGAGCGGTAGAGGAGAGTGGTGCACAACCCGGTAGCCTTGTAGGTAAGACTATATATGAATTTCTACCATACTTAAGTCATACTTAACGCGATGAAGCTGTTGCCGGACCGCCAGGTGGACTAACAACATTGACATGTCAATACGCTAAGGCCCGCGGTTGTCGAGTTCTGGCCGTATCTACAGGAGATGATAGTGAGCTTCTATATAAGAAGAAGCTTGATGTGGAGTACTATATAGACTACAATTGCTCAGCCGATATCGTGGCTGAAGTCCAGGGTATAAATGGCAACGGGCCCGACGCTGCAATACTGATAGAAGGATCAGGAGCACTTCTCAAAGGAGCACTTCAGGTTAGTCATTTTCTAAATGGTACCTGGAATAACCACCTCCTTACCAATCCCAGTATGTGCAACCTAGAGGAACAGTTGTCGTTGTGGGCTTGCCTCCAGGGTCCCCAGTTGGCATTGACGTATGTAAGTTGGTGTCAAGGATGGCACAGGTCAAGGTTGTGCCTTATGGCGGAACTCGAGAGCAGATAGAGGAGGCCATTCTTGTTTCTACCAAGGAGAGATTCTACCAACCATGTCATGTTTTTGCACTTGACCAGCTTCCTCAAGTTCTCGAATCTATGCAGAATGAGATACCTGAAGGAACCTCCCCGAAGCCGGCGTTATATTATGGCGGTCAATTGCTCGGCGAAGCAGTCATTAAGATGCCGCATACAGAAGCAACTCCCAAGCCCCAGACGATAGCATATCCACCAACTTCTCAGTCAACCTTTCATCAAACAAATTATAACATTGGCACATTTCTGGGCTACCGGTTGGAGGAGCTAGGTGTCCGCGATTACTTCGCTGTACCAGGTTTGTGTATCAATCCAAAGTGTTCGTATCGCTTGCTAATACCTACCAGGGGATACTAATTTCTTCCTCCTTGACAATTTGCTGAAGAGCCCCAACCTTCGTATGGTGACATGCTGCAACGAGCTGAACGCTGGTTATGCCGCCGATGGTTATGCTCGCGTTTCATCAGCCCGCATTGCGGTTGTTGTCGTTCCTTACATTGTAGGCAGCCTATCCGCTCTCAATGCTGTATCAGGCGCCTGTTCGCAATATGTCAGATTGATTGTACTCTCTGGTTGCCCTGCCACTGGCCTCGTTAATAGCGACAAATTTCTGCATCACGCCCCCACCGCAAAGAATAAAGATCAGGCCCTCCAGGCATTCCAGGGAGTCACAGCTGCATCTGTCCGTCTAGAATCAGTTGAGACTGCCCCCGGCGTACTGGATGATACGATAAGCAAATGCCTAGACTCCAGTTTGCCAGTCTACATAGAAATCCCCAATGATCTAGCTTCCGCTGCATGCACTCCGCCGTCGCCACTGAGCAGGAAGGTGAACTTAAAGACCCAACCACACGTCTTAAAGGAGGCTGCAGAAGCAATTACAGGTATATGGAACTCATCCAAAAGGCCTGTATTATTACTTGGAAGCTTAGCAGGTCTATCTCTCCCTCGTCTTCATATTGAACTTCTAGCAGAAAAGCTTGGCTGTGCGGTTCTTTGTCAGCCCGATGGCCGATGCATCGAAGAATCTCATCCGCAGTATTGCGGTCAATTCTGGGCTGGAATGACAAACCCGGAAGGTGAGCACATCGTCATGAGCTCAGACCTTTGGCTAGTCATTGGTGGAAATTGGTCCGATCTTCATGTTGTGATGAGTAGCCATAAGCAGGAGAACCATCGCATGATTAGCGTGGACAAGGGCTGGGTCGAGCTACCCGATGGAAAGCATATCAAGCCTGTGAATATTGGTGCATTGGTAGCGCAGCTCATCATGTCTGGAATGAAACCTAAGACCGAGTCAATTCCGCGACCCAAGCCACTTATTGGTTGTTTGCTTCCCGACGAAACGGAGACACCCGAGACACCCTTGACTTTAAGAAGCAGTATCAGCGGTATTCAGGGACTTATCAAGGGGCATGACACGTTACTCTGCGACGCAGGAGAGTCATGGCTCATCGCTAATCATATTCTTCTTCCCCCTGAAGCCAACTGCCATCTACAATTTCCGTATTGCTCTATCGGATGGGCATTACCTGCTGGATTTGGTTCCCAACTTGCTCGGACACGGGGTCGATCAATCATCCTTATTGGTGATGGAGGATTTCAGATGACAGCGCAAGCAGTTAGCAGTATGATTCGTCATAAGGCTAACCCGGTTATATTTGTTTTTAACAATCTTGGCTACCAGATTGAGGCAAGTCAAGTGGGAATACTACATGAACCTTTCTGACAACGAAGTAGACTGCTATGCATCAGGGGCCGTATAATTACATTGCCAACTGGGACTATGTCAAGTTAGCCAGTTCTTTCTCCTCGAAGCCTCACGCTCCGTCTCACAATCCCTACGCCAGCAAGGAAGATGAGGAGCGAGAAGGAAGTCCATCCATGTTCGCCTTGAAAATCAAGACTATCGGAGATTTCAGGCAAGCACTGAATAGAGTGGACGAAGAACCGGACAAACTCGCGTTTTTAGAACTCTGCATCCAACCCAATGATGTAACTGACGACCTTAGGCGGCTCGGTAGAATGATGGCAGATCGGAGCGCGGAAGCGTCAAGAAAATCTCAAAGTCTTGACACCGAAGAGGTGGATGAGTAGAGCATAGGCCAGGATACTATGATCGCGGACCTGAGAGGCTTAGTTAGGTTGCTATGATCTGCTTGGTATGCGATGAGCTTTCTATATGTCTATCGTATAAGTATATCGGGGATAGAATAAAGATGTTGTTTGCTACGCCTTCGAATCACATAATACCACTAAGTGCGCATCGTGAGTCATGGACAGAAGCAGTGTTTTATAATTGCGTTGTTCGATTTTGATCCAGGTCGTCCAGCAATCATTTCTTGCAGGCAACTTCTTGTATAGCATTATTTGTGGTTGATCCCGCAACACTTTCGGACATCGGAACAAGTTACCGTGAGACAACCATTAAGTTTCTCAGAACAGGTAGACCTCGGCGATTCAGCTAGGCGATCTATTCACAATGGCTACCAAATACTGCAAGACAAGCAAACAATGACATTACGTGCTAGCCAATAGCATGCAATACAAAGCTAGCGCGAGTTGTGAATGCTCATAATGACTGCTTTGTTGAGCATCAAAACATGATACCTTCACTATTCACTTCAAAGGACTAAACTACATTATCATGCGGCACCTGCCATCTATACACGGCATACTTTTCTTTTGCTCTTCTCGAATCTCCCTGGAAACCTAAGTCCAGTAATAATCTTCAGGACCCTCCAAATTGCAGCCTAGCTGACAGTGAATGCGAAGGGAAGAGCCGCAATATGGTCAATTGTCCTGAAAACTTTCCTTTACCATTTTTCTCTCCATGTCTCTTGAAAAACAGGTATAAACTGCTCCAGCATGCAATCTCTTTCTGAATCGTTCTTGTCGCTGGTCATCAAAACTATGTCAGCAGCCTTCGCATTCACCCATCTACACCATATGTAGCTTCGATCTTCACCCTCGTGCACCTCCGACAATGGATACTCCCGGTACTGTGTATACCCCCGATCCCATGGACATCGATGAGTCCATGGATAGCGCGTCATCTACAGCCTCAAGCGACCCCATGGACCTGGCACCACCAACGGAAACCACCCAAAGCCGTTCTGTCTCGGAGATCGGCTTACAGCCTTCCCTACGACCTAGTGGGCCCGATGCTGATTTAACCTCCCATCTCAGGGCCCAAAGGTACAAGGAACTATATCCAGAGGGGACACCTCGGTGGACCAAAGAAGCCATCCAAGAGGCGCAAGCGAGAGTGGAGAGGTGTAAGCCAGGCGAAGTCGTGTATATTACTGCATTGGATGGCGCGAATGTGGATTTCGAAGTGATGACAGAGAGAATTGTGCGCAATAAACAGGGTGTATCTATTGTTGGGTACGTGTTCGTTCATCTTCTATCGATGTAAAATACTAATCAATCCGATGATTCCAGCCTGAAGCATTTCCTCGAATTTTTCCCCGCCCCAACAGACTACATCACGCCCAACCCCGGAACGCGCCATCCCTCCCTCATATACTCGAACCTCGCCCTGGGCCACAAATTCCGCCGTCTGGACGAGGAAGACACGGACGACGAAGACGAAGATCCCACCGACAAACAAATAGCAGCCGCGCACGAAAGCTTCAACTCCATCTTCCACACCTGGACTGACAGTGCCATCTACAAGAATATGCTAGCTACTCTCCGCAATCTACCGACCATTAAACGCCCCGTCACCAAGATCATCGCCTTCGGATGCAACAGCCTATGCAGCCCCAAGCTTGACAAGTTTGCTCAGGAGCGAAGTGCCTACCAGCACGCCTTCCTGCTCATGTTACGAAGAGTGTTGCAGGAAATGGCATGGACACCGACAGAAATTGAAATCCTGCTGCAGGATCCGGCGTACACGAAGCTGGATAAGAAGGTACTGGGTGATTGTGAAATGACTGTGCTGGATAGTCCGAAGGCGTTTCTGTTGGTCGATGACGAGAGTTTTGTGTTTTCGTGTTCTCCGGATGTTCCTGTTCGGCAGATCGTTATGGATTTGGCGACGCCAGTGGGGATGATTTGGGATGCGGTGGTGGCGGAGAGTATGTCGCTGGATACGTGAGTTCTCCCATTAGTATCGGCATCATGGTTAAACGTGGAATACTAACGATGATGATGTTTTAGGAAAGATCCATGGGACATCACCATCCACCGGAAAATCAACCAGAATTACAATACCTACAATCTTCCGAAGGATAAGCGTTTCAGCATGTTGAAGATATATCTGCGGTGCTCGGATGGCGAGCTGTCGGATACAGAATGTGAACGGAGGGAAGAGAAGATGCGAAACACTATGGACTTTGTCCAGAGGAATAAGTTTCTGGTTAGTTGGGAGAAGGATAATGTGCAGGATGTGTTTTCAGTCTATCGCCGAATGAGAGGGTCTCATGGTAGTGATGGAAGTGGTAGAATCTAGTACTCCTATCGCCCGTGGCGGGAAGACAGTTTTGTTGTCGGGGGTGTCTGCTGAGAAGATCGATATGGACCGTGATCAGATAGTCAAGGATTGTTGGATGTTGAAGACTAGTATAGGGAAGGATTGAAATTTACTGTAGCTGGATAAACAAGTGATGAATAGATAGCCTACCTTGCTTACTGCGATTATATATTTTCGGTCGGAAAGTCAGTCCAAGGAAACCTGGCCCTCACCCTACGACACAAATTCCTCCGATATACCTACACAACACCAAACAAGTAGACATGCCACTCTGTAGTAAATTCACGTAGTACCAAACTTTAAATGTCCCCAGCTTTATCCACAACCCCATACTCCACCCAAGGATCAATGACCACAGTTACACGGATACACCAAAAGTAGGGTATAAGTCATAGTAAGGCTTTCCCCACATCCAACAGTTGTCCCTGTGGCCAAGTGGTTAAGGCATAGTGCTTATGGTTTCATCATACAGGAATCACTGAGATCGGCGGTTCGACCCCGCCCAGGGACAAATCTTTTTTCGCCGTTCTTTTTTTTCCGCACCCGCACCCTAACTAAAAACAACCCATGCATTCATCTTTTTTTTTTTTTTTTTTTTTTTTTTTTTTTTTTTTTTTTTTTTTTTTTTTTTTTTTTTTTTTTTTTTTTTTTTTTTTTTTACTTTTACACAATATTTCACAATTATGTCGTGCTAAGATACAAATTGGATTTATTTGAGAACGGTCTCCTCGGTATATGTACAGCCGATAGTCTGTCAGCGGAAGAGCGGATGAAACTGGCGGCCGTTTCAACGTCAAAGTAGCCTTGGCGTTTTACCACCACCATCCTCCCTCCCACAACACTACAAAGCTGACTATTTACTTTACCCGGTCACTGCCAAAAGTCTTGGTCCAGGCTGATCCTCATAAATGACCCAAGTCTGCTACAACAGGTCCCCCTCCTACAGAAGCTGGCTAGTTGGTTAACTATTTTCCGATTGTTCCGCTTAGTCAATCTTCAGACAACTCCAACCTGACTAGTTACGTGCGGATTGACGGTCAGTGTTCCTGAATCCGTCCGTAGCTGACTTTCAAGCGATGTCTAGACTTACTAGAACTGGTTAGTGTACGGAGTACTGCTACCATCTATACCCCATTGACATTGGGTATGCGGCATTTCCCCGCTGGCTGTGTAGTTTTTCCGCAAGTACAAGTGCCGAGTTGACGACCCGCCGTTTATCGGAGCTCTCGGGCCTTGATGATCGACGGTGATCGACATCGGGGCCTTTTGGTCTTCAGCAGTATTCATGGGGGTTTCTATATAAGAGGTGTAGAGTAAGTAGGCATTTGATGTCTCTGTGACTGATCCTTTTAGACTACGAGGCAAAGTTTAAGGTAGGTATAGGTGGCTGCAGATAATCTGCAACTGGCGGGGTGAAGAATCCAAGGCAGGGTGACTCTGCTTCCGCCAAGGACGGCGTCCCTTGGCTTGGATAGTTCCTGCAGTGGACCTGTTGATCGCTATCCTACTCTCGGATTTTCCGACACACGGCGTTTCGTCATACCCGGGACTGAGGTCCGGATACATTCAGGCACCGAGGTTCGTCTGCCCTATAGTCTTGTCCTGTTGCTCGTCTATCTGCAGTTTCAGCAGATCGAAACCTGTGATGGAGTCGGCAGCTCATTTCGCGTACCAGATGGCCATGTTACAGAATCTCGGGATTTCCGGGATGAGTATCGGACTTCGTTGTCCACGCGAAGGGTATATAAGTTTGTAGAATCATAGCAAGAACATCTATGGAAGAAGCAGCAGAGATCTGATCGGAAGCTAAATCTGAAAGTCTCCATCGCCATGCGTTCTTTCGTCTTCTCCTCGCTTTTGGCTCTCACCTCAGCCCTATCCGTTGAGGACCTCTACGTCTCCGAGGCCCCCTCCTCCCCTCGCCCCTATATCCTCCCTCACTATGAGAACTCCCATGCCGTGACGATCGACTCCCAGCTCTACCGATTTACCGTCACCGGCCCCTCCTCCGACTATGCCTTCACCCTGATGAGCACCAATGCGCCCTCGAGCAGCTCCCTCGGTGTCCTGCCACACATTCACCGCACACACTATGAGAACTTCTTCAGCTTCAAGGGCCGCTTCCAGCTCTGGGCCCAAAAGGGCGATGGAGAACAGGAAGCTCGTCTCCTCACCCAGGGAGACTATGGCTCTGTTCCCCGGAACACTACCCACACCTTCCAGATTCTCGACCCGGACACCGAGATGGTGGGAGTGATTGTTCCTGGTGGATTCGAGTAAGCCAAAACCCCCATCTATTCGTTCTCATATCAGTATAATAACCAAGTTGAAAACAAATAGGGACCTCTTCTACGCCCTCGGCACCAACTACACCTCCGGAACCGAAACCCCCTACGTACCTGGCTCCGGCAACTCCTCTTCATCCTCCGCCACCGGCCCCGACAGCAGCACCATCTCCGGCCTGCAACAATACGACGTCTACGCCCAGCTCGACTTCACTCCCCGCCGGGACCTTGTCAACGGCACCGCCCCCTCCGATTCCGGCTGGCACACCGAGTCCGATACCCTCGGCGCCGCCGGCAAGCCGTACTTCATCGCCAACAACTACGGCCCCAAGTACCTCAACTCGCAGTACGGGGCGTACCAGATCGTGCAGCCATTGGTGACGGCCACGCAGGCCCAGGATACGAACTATACCCTGTCGACGATCATCATGAGCCGGCAGCCGAGCAATGCGACGGCGCCGACGTGGACGGCGGGCCCGGCAGCGTTTGAAGTGCTGGAGGGTAGCGTGCAGGTGCAGATTGGGGAGTATGAGACTGCGAGAGTGGAGATGGGAGATGTGGTGTTTGTGCCTAAGGGAGTGACGTATCGGTATTGGAATGAGGGGGCACAGGCGAAGGTGTTGTATGTTTCTTCTGGGGCGGATGGAGTGGATAGTCAGTTGATAAAGGGGGGAAGGACGTGGGCGGACCCGGTTTGGCCGAAGTATTTTTAGATAGTATATACTAAGAGAGATGGATGGTGTGTAGACTACTAGACTACGTATTGTACAGAAATAGAATATTTGTGATTTAACAGGTATTGGCGACGCGTCGGTGTGATGGAAATCCAGCACGTTGCAGGACCAAGAATCCCCGGGTGCGGGGGTGGGCTTGGCTGGATGGTCTGATCTTACTAGTTTACTAGTAGTTGCTGTAAGGAACCGTCGGGGGTGTTATTAATAGTTGGACTTGCAGATGGAACATGAACATGTCCTGGCCATTGTATCTCTCGTGCATGAAGCCTGTCCCAGGGAGTTGGTAGTAATTCATGCCTGAGGTAGTACAATAAGTATTGGGGCTACAGCTGCTCACCTGCAAGGGGAAGACCACTTGTGTTGTTGTTGTTATTGTTATTGTTATTGTTACATGAGTGGGGAAGACCAATTGACAATCCCGATACTTTCCAATCCCTTTCCGGATTTCGTGCAACATCACTGCCCATTTTGATATTATTATTATCATCATGATTGTATTATGGCACGACACGAGTGGAATTCACGTCATCGTCTGCCAAGCCAGTCCCTTTCCATCCAGACCTCCCGATTACCAAGCCCTTCCGCCAGTCAGCTTCGTCCTCCTCCTCATCGCCAAGCCTGCCCTTCGGCCGGGTCATGGACCCCCCGGCCAATGAGCAACGCGCCATTGGCCGTGTGTCTGCATCTTGATACGCATCCCAGGATTCCTTACCGAAAGATATCATCCCAAGTAAGGTACACGCCTGGTATCGAACAAAACATGCTGGGACGGACGGCTCCTACATTCGTTACTAGTCATACAATCTAGTCAATTAGTAGCTGCTGCCAATGCCAATGCCAATGCCAATGCCTCTCTATATAATTCCCTCAGTGCCCCCTCTCTTCTCTCCTCCTCCCCTCCCCTTCCTTCTCCTCTCACTGCTCCAATTGCCTCATCTTCCCTGGACGTAGTCCAATTCCCCCCTTCCCTTCCACGCGACCATGCGTCCCATCGGTCTCGTCGGCCTCATTGGCCTTGCCAATGCCGCCTGCCCTTACATGAGTCGTGACCTCTCTGCTCGCGACTCCTCAGATGCCTCAGAATCCACTGAGGAATTCCTCTCTCAGTACTACCTCAATGACAATAACACTTACCTCACTTCCGACGTGGGCGGCCCCATTGAGGACCAGAACAGTTTGAGCGCTGGTGAACGCGGTCCCACCTTGCTGGAGGACTTTATCTTCCGCCAGAAGATCCAGCGCTTCGATCATGAACGAGTAAGTCTTTTTGTTTGTCTACTACGCAATTGCACCACTAAGAATGTAGGTTCCCGAACGCGCCGTACATGCCCGTGGCGTCGGTGCCCACGGTGTCTTCGTCTCCTACGGCGACTTCTCCAACCTCACCGCGGCCTCATTCCTCTCTGAACAGGGCAAGGAAACTCCCATGTTCGTGCGCTTCTCCACTGTCGCTGGTAGTCGTGGCAGTACCGATCTGGCGCGCGATGTGCATGGTTTTGCCACTCGCTTCTACACTGATGAGGGCAATTTCGGTAAGCTATCCCCTGGTTACCGTACTCTTAGCCAAACACTAACTCGTCAGATCTCGTGGGAAACAACATCCCCGTGTTCTTCATCCAGGATGCCATCCAGTTCCCCGACCTGATCCACGCCGTCAAGCCCAGAGGTGACAGTGAGATCCCGCAAGCCGCGACTGCTCACGACTCGGCCTGGGACTTCTTCAGCCAGCAGCCCAGCGCTCTGCATACTCTATTCTGGGCAATGGCTGGACACGGTATCCCGCGCTCCTTCCGGCATGTTGACGGCTTTGGCGTGCACACATACAGGCTTGTGACGGACAGCGGCGCGTCGAAGCTGGTCAAGTTCCATTGGAAGTCGCTGCAGGGCAAGGCCAGCATGGTCTGGGAAGAGGCGCAACAGGTCTCGGGCAAGAACTCGGACTTTATGCGCCAGGACCTGT